TAATAATAATAATAATAATAATAATAATAATAATAATAATAATAATAATAATAATAATAATAATAATAATAATGACAATAACTTTTATTATAATAATTATTTTTTATTATATAATTATATATTTAACTTTTTTCTTTTATTATATAATTATATTTTTAATTACTTTTTTTTACTATAGTTATATTTATATCTTTTTTTTATTATATAATTATATTCTTAACTTTTTTTTATGATTATATATTAGTTTTATTTATTATATAATTATTTTTTTATTTATATTATTTTAATAATTATTTTTTCAAATATATTACTAAATTTAAAGAAGTATTTAGCTTCATATTAAAAAAATTTCTGTTATTGATATCAATTATAAAATTTAAAATTTAATTTAAGTATAATAAATATTTTAAAAAAAATAATTTATGTATTATATATTTTATATTAATATTTGATAATATTATTTATTATTAATTAAGTATTATAAATTATTTTATTTTTATTTATATCATATTATTTATTCAAATTAGAAAATAAATCTGGCTTATGACTTATATTAGAAATAAAACTCATATTAGAAAATTTAAAATTTGATTCAAGAAAAGTGATTCAATATTGTCTCTTACATATAACTAATAGAGATAATTCTCAAGACTATCACTTTAAGAAACTATTTTAATAGTATTTATAATTAGAAGTTTCATGAATTTCTCAAAGATTGTATCATCTGTTAAGAAACTCAATTTGAGCATCAAAATGACTTATTTTGATTAATTATCAAAATATTATCAGTCCGGATCCAATCAACCAGGATTAAATCTGGATTATCTCTATTCCGGATTGCAGTACCCGACTTTAATCTCCACCATATCGATACGCGTGTGCTCTTATTCATTATCTAATTACATTACATTTTACCATAATGATAACACGAACTTTTATAATAAAGCCAATAGAACCTATATTATTACCCTTTGGTGGTGTTCGAGTTTATCAAAAGTCAATTTGTTGTCGCGGGCATTATACGTATTTCACAACTAGTAGCAGCTTGCAATTCAACAAAATTTGTCATTTGAAAAAACCACAAGCTGACGAAAAAAGTAGGTGTAATTTAGCTCATATATAAAGAAGTACGCGTCCAGTTTCTTAGTATATCAATAAAGCGCTGATCAGGTCAAGCAACTCCCAACTTTGTCCAACCAAATGAATAAGTCTGAAAGTATATATGCATTCTAGGCTAGTTAGCTCCTTATTCAAGGTAAACTATACAACAAATGCTTTTGCTTGGTCAGCGCTTCAAGATAGTTTTATGAGTGTGTGGGTTTTGTGGGATGTATATATGTATTTGTCATTATCGTCAATCTCAATCATCTTTTTCTCACATACTTTTCATTATTTATTAACAAATTAGGAATATTCAACGAATTCGGGGTAGAAATGCTCCCAGACTGGCTATACAATCAAATCTTTCGCTATAAAAGCCGGCCAGAAATGTCTAAAGGACATCTGCAGCTAGCAAAAGATCATCTGAGTAAACAGGGACTAGCCGACAAAAAAACAGACATGTTAAATCCGTTACAAGAATTCGCATTACCTAGTTTGTGTGGGAGCACGATTGCTGAGCATTTTCTAAAGATTGGAGAGAGACAAGCGAGACCTGTCCGTGAATTGGCGACTCAGTTTGCGGAGTCGACGTTGCCGGATGTGCCGACCAATTGGGTGTTTAAGGCTGGTTGGACGCGGTATACGGGGAATGATAAAGAGCCAGAAGGTGTAGAATATCCGGACGAGGAGCTTTTGTGTTTTGATGTTGAAACGATGTTAAGTGATAGTCCTTTCGCAGTAATGGCTGTCGCGGCTTCACCAAATGCTTGGTATGGATGGGTGTCGCCACAATTAATTGAATATGCACATAATAAAAAAAAAGAAACCACTGAAAATTTATCGAATCCTGATGACTCTGAAAGAGAAAATTTAACGAACCCTGATGACCTGGAAAAGGAAAAGTCCATTGAAAAGTTATCGAATCCTGATGAGCCTGAAAGAGAAAATTTAACGAACCCTGGTGACCTGGAAAAGGAAAAATCCACTGAAAAGTTATCGAATCCTGATGACCCTGAAAGAGAAAATTTATCGAACCCTGATGACCTGGAAACGGAAAAGGTCACTGAAAAGTTATCGAATCCTGATGACTCTGAAAGAGAAAATTTAACGAACCCTGATGACCTGGAAAAGGAAAAGTCCACTGAAAAGTTATCGAATCCTGATGAGCCTGAAAGAGAAAATTTAACGAACCCTGATGACCTGGAAAAAGAAAAGTTATCGAATCTTGAGAGCGCTGTAAATAGTAACAATAAAGGACGCTTAATTCCTGTTGGCAAATTACAAAAAGATCGAATAATAGTTGGACATAATGTAGGTTTTGATCGAGCGCGTATCAAGGAAGAATACCATCTCGATCCCACAAATACATATTTCTTGGATACAATGGCGCTGCATGTCGCCGTTAGTGGTCTCTGCTCACAACAACGCCCCTCCTGGATAAAATACGACAAAGCAGCAGAAGCTAATGATACCATATATCTGGAACAGGCGCGAGACTTTCAAGCAGTTTACGACGTAAGTTCTTTGAATAATTTACGGGATGTTTACAAATTTCATTGTTCAGAGATTTTGGATAAAGATGTACGTGATATGTTTGTGAATGGGACAATGGAAGAGATTAGTGACTTGAAAAACTTTCCAACATTAATGGAGTATTGTGCAACAGATGTGCTTGCTACGCATAGGGTCTTCCAAAAAGTGTTACCACGATTTTTGCGCACATGTCCACATCCAGTATCATTTGCTGGGATGGTTCACATGGGAAATATGTTTTTGCCTGTGAGTAGTGACTGGAACAATTACTTGAAAAAAGCAGAAGGTGTTTTCCAAGAACAATCCAACTCGATCGAGAAAAATTTATGCGAGTTGGCAGAGGCTGCTGTACAACTAAATCCGGAGGAGGCGAAGAAGGATCCTTGGCTTCAACAATTAGATTGGTCACTTCCATCCTCGCGAAGTAGGAAGCTTCCCGATAAGCCAAATTGGTATCGTGGCATATATAACACAAAAACGGGAAAGATTAGAATAACAGTTAGAACCCGTATAGCACCACTGTTGCTTAAATTGAAATGGTTAAATTATCCGATATATTTTTCTCATAAATACGGTTGGATGTATCGAGTGCCTAAAGAAGATACTCAGTATAAAACCAAAGCTAAACAGTGTACTTTTCAGACAGATCCTGAAGAGCCAGATTATGAAGAACGATTTGTCAAAGATGACGGAGCGAGGTATTATAAAGTACCGCATAAAGATGGGGAATCAGCTAGAGTAGTGAATCCTATGGCGAAAAATTTTATATCAGCTTTTGAAAATGGGATTCTGAATTCAGAGTATCCAGAAGCTCGTACGGCGCTCGGTATGAACGCTGCATGTTCTTATTGGATAAGTGCAAGAGAGCGTATACAATCTCAGATGGTAGTGTATCAAGATCATCCCGATATCGAGGATATTGGATTCGAAATGAGCGATGGAAAACTCCCGGGAATGATTTTACCACAGACTCTAACTATGGGCACTATAACTCGCCGTGCTGTAGAAAAAACATGGTTGACTGCAAGCAACGCAAAAGAAAATCGAATTGGATCTGAATTAAAAGCGATGGTTCAATCACCTAAAGGTTATAAAATTGTAGGCGCAGATGTAGATTCTGAAGAGTTGTGGATTTCTAGCTTAATTGGGGATGCACAATTTGGTGCTCATGGATCAACAGCCTTGGGATGGATGACGCTGCAGGGTACAAAGAAAGCTGGTACCGACTTACATTCGAAAACGGCATCAATTTTAGGAATTTCTAGAGACAGTGCCAAAGTTTTTAATTATGGACGAATTTACGGGGCTGGGTTGAAATTCGCGATTCAAATGCTTCGACAATTCAACGAAAATATCGAAGAGGCGGATGCGCAAAAGCGAGCTGAGAGTCTGTATAAACAAACGAAAGGCGAAAAATACTATGTTAATAAAGAAACCAGACCATTCTGGTATGGTGGCAGTGAGAGTTACATGTTTAACGGGTTGGAAAGCATCGCCACAAGTAAAGAGCCAAAAACCCCAGTATTGAAATGTGGCATAACAGACGCGTTGAACTCTAAAGTTGTTAATCGTAACTATATGACCTCTAGGGTTAATTGGGTTGTGCAATCTTCCGGCGTGGATTATCTTCATCTGTTGCTTGTCTCGATGAAGTATTTGACTGAAAAGTATGGCATTTGGACAAGATTTTTGCTGTCTGTACATGATGAGGTGCGTTTTCTTGTCAAAGATGAGGATAGTTATCGTGCTGCGTTGGCATTGCAAATTAGTAATCTATGGACTAGAGCTATGTTCAGTTATATGCTTGGAATCGAGGATTTACCTTTGGTCAGTTTTATTATTTCTTTTTATATATATATGTATATATAGATTGACGCGTTGAATTTCTGATAATTTTAAAGTTCTCTCTTTATAAAAAAAGTCGATTGCATTTTTCTCGGCGGTAGATATCGATCATGTACTTCGAAAAGAAGTAGAAATGAAGTGCAAAACATTATCACATCCCTCAGAAATTCCTCAAGGTGAAAGTGTCACGATACAAAAACTCGTAGATATGCAGAAAAAATTATATCGTGAAGACAATGAAACCAATGACTACAACGAGGACCTAACAGCTTATGAAATACCCGAAATGTATGCCAGCCTTTTAGAACAACAGCAACCGTCCAAAGATGAAGTATTTCTAAAGGCGCAATCATGCACGAGTGATAGCGAAATTGATTTAGCTTATAAAAAACCACAGCATACCAATGGCAATGGTAGTTATGGCAATAGATATAAGGAGAAAAATAGAAAAAGATATTCAAATAAACAATCCCGCCAAACAGATAATATTAATCATGATCAAGAACAAAAGAATATGGAACTATATTATGATGAAGATAATAATAATAATAATAATAATAGTATTAGCGATTATTCGCAGGCTCAGCAAGACAATGAACAATACATTAATGTTATGCCTTCACAGCATGAACAGCGTAACTACAAGGTTGGTAGTATGCGACAATTACATGCACGGTTCAGTACCATTAGTTCACAAAAGCCCAATATATTTCCTAAAAAGAATATAACTAGCAGTTCAGTAATAAATCAAGATGTTCCACTTTCTTCGTATGACGTCCTATATATATCATCTACTCCCAAGAAATCTAAAAAAAGAGAATCAAAAATGAATGTTCTATGTTCAGAAGATCTGGAAAAGTGATTTTGGGTAGTTTTATGTAAATATATTAAAAATTTTGCTTCTATGAATTAAAATTATTCACCTATCGCTATTATAGAAAATGTAGTAACAAAGTGAAACAGAAAAAAAATGACAGATCATGTGACTTCCGATCACATTCTGTCTTTCCGGAGTTCCTGGAGTCTGCCTCTAATACCTTTAAGATTAGAGCGAGAATGTCATGCATTTATTATTTATTTACAATGTAATTCAAGAATAATAAACTTAATGCTTTGTTTTTTATTTACAATGTAATTCAAGAATAATTTGAACTTTTAAGAATAAACTTGCATTTTATTTTTTTATTTACAATATAATTCAAGAATAATTTAAACATTAAGAATAAACTTGCATTTTGTTTTTTTATTTATAATATAACTCAAGAATAATTTAAACATTAAGAATATTCAAATAAAATAAGACTTATTAAATTCTTGCTTTATCTTATTGATAGTTAAAGCTCACTTATTCTTTCCTATTCTTGATTGCTTGTTTGATTACTTATAAGATTGTTCACTCAATTGCTATTAACTTGTTCATTCTTGCTTTCTCATTTATCCACTTGCTCACTCTTGCTTACTTTTTCAGACTTGAGTTAATTATAATTATTGTTATCCAGAAAAAATAGTTAAATTTTGATTTTAGATTAATCAAAATGCTTAAAAGAAATTTCAAAAGCAGAAAAATTACTCACTGATATAAAATATAAAGATAATTCAATGATAAATAAAGCTTGGATTACCTGATAGAGATAAAAATATGCATCCAATCAGAAAAGTTCTCATCATATCAGTAATTATTCACTATTATCAGAAATCTAAATAATAAATCAAGAACTAAAATCAAAGAAACTTGTCAATAAAAAGATATAGAATTACCAAATATTTTTTATTAAATAATAGTATTAGTCAGATTATTAATTATGATTTTGATATCTTTGATAGTTAAAAATTAACTTATTAAAAGAGAGAAATATTGATTTAAAAAGGAATGAAAAATAAATTTCAAAAGTAAAAAATTACTCACTGATACAAAATATAAAGATAATTCAATAGTAAAAAAAACTTAGATTATCTAATAATAATAAAAATATATGTTTGATCAGAAAAGTTCTTATTATACTAGTAATTATTTATCATCATCAGAAAATCTAAATAATAAATCAAGAACTAAAGTTGAAAAAACTTATCAATAAAAAGATATAGAACTATCAATATTTTTCATTAAGTAATAGTATTAGTCAGATTATTAATTATAATTTCAATATCTTTGATAATTAAAAATTAACTTGCTAAAAGAAAGAAATATTAATTTAAAAAAAAATAAAAAATAAATTTCAAAGGCAAAAAATTACTTACTGATACAAAATATGAAAATAATCTAATGATAAAGAAAACTTGGATTATCTAATAATAATGAAAATATGCATCCAGTCAGAAAAGTTTTTACTATATTAATAATTATTCATTATCATCAGGAAATTCAAATGATAAATCAAAAACTAAAGTTGAAGAAACTTATTAGTAAAAAGATATAGAATTATTAAATATTTTTCATTAAGTAATAATATCAGTTAGATTATTAATTATAATTCTAATATCTTTAATAATTAAAAACTAGCTTGCTAAAAAAGAGAAATATTAATTTAAAAAGAAATAAAAAATAAATTCCAAAGGTGAAAAATTACTTATCAATATAAAATATGAAGATAATTTAATGATAAAGAAAACTTGAATTATTTAATGATAATAGAAATATATGTCTAATCAGAAAAGTTCTTATTATATTGATAATTATTCATCATTATTAAAAAATTCAAATAATAAATCAAGAACTGAAATTGAAGAAACTTGTTAATGAAAAGGTATAGAACTACCAAATATTTTTCATTAAATAATAGCATCAATTAGATTATCAATCATAATTTTAATATCTTTAATAATTAAAAACTAGCTTGCTAAAAGAGAGAAATATCAGTTTAATAAGAAATAAAAAATTCTAAAGATGAAAAATTACTTACTGATATAAAATATGAAAATAATTCAATAGTAAAGAAAACTTAGATTATCTGATAATAATAAAAATATATATTTAGTCAAAAAAGTTCTTATCATCCTAGTAATTATTTATTATTATTAGAAAATTCAAATAATAAATCAAGAACTGAAGTTAAAGAAACTTATTAATGAAAAGATATAGAACTATCAAATATTTTTTATTAAGTAATAACATCAGTCAGATTATTAATCATAATTCTAATACTGTTACCATTTTAAAATTATGCGTATGTAATTATTTTAAAATAGTAATAGTAACTATATTCACAGTAGTTATTAACTTTTATAACTTCAAGAGATTATATGACTGATTATTCTTTTAATAAGATAGTGTGTATAAGATTTATTTCTAACAAAATATGATTATCTTTTCAATAAGATAATTTATACATATTTTATTTATAACAAAAATATGATTATCTTCTTAATAAGATAATATACGTGAATTTACTTCTAACTAAATGCTCTCTCAATAGAGCAAGAAGAAAATAAGATAAGATATA